ACGCACACACACCTTTTTGCATCCAACGACTCTCCACTCTTCTTTCCTTTCCCCTCTCTTTCTCCTCGAGCCATCCCCCTATCCTTGAGGCACCAACCAAAAACCAAAAACCAAAAAAAAAAAAAAAATGTCACAAGTGATGAACCCCCTCATCTCCGCCTCGAAGCAGCAGCGCATCGACGTCTGGCGAACCGAGGTGGCAGCCCTCACGCTCGCCGTCCCCGCCACCTCGGGATCATCCACAGCCTCGACGACGACGTCATCATCCGGCGCATCGTCAGACGGCGGCCTCGGCCTCGGCTTCGGCGCCCTCCTCCCAGCCGGGGCCGCCGGCGTCGTGAGCGGTACGGCATACCCGTTCCCGCCTCTCGGCCTGGACGACGTCGGGCAGCAGCATGGCAGCGGCGACGGTCACCGACGTAGCCTGTGGCGCCGTCTCGCCCGTCGCGTCATCCGGAGGGGAGGCGGCAGCGGCAGCGGCAGCGGTGCCGGCGCCGCCGTCTCAGACCTGAACCATGGCAGCTTCAACCCTGGCCGCCGCGGTACCGCCGCCGGCGTCTTCGCCTTCGCCCACCGCCATGACGGCGGCTACGTAGACTACGGCCCCGCCGCGGCAGACGACGATGCCACCCACCACACCGACATGTACAGGTCCCTCCGACCTACTCCCGAGTCAGACATTGCTCCCGCCGCTGCTCCTGCCGCCGGGAGGCAGGAACAGGACCACCCTGATCACGACCTAGATCATGCACTCGCCAGCCGTGACGATGACGATCCCGACTCCCGTCGTCTGCGGAACAGGCATGATCGCCTTCAACGAGCTGCACGTCTGTTGAATCACGTTCGCGCCACCGCACCACCTCCACCTTGATTTTATTCCCACTTTTTTTTTCTTTTTTTCTTTTTTTTTTAAAAAAAAAGAAAAAGAAATTCTCTTCTTGTTGTCCTCTCTTTATAAAAAAAATTCTTTAATGAATACCTTTTTTTTCTCTCCCATGAAACGTACTCTACTGGGCTCTCTTCTTCTTTCTCTTTCTTCCTCTCTCTCTCTCTCTCTCTTCAGCCCTCTCTTGGCTGTTTCGTTTTGTTTCACGCCTCTCTAGTTCAGCAATCAAAGAAATTACAACAACAAAAGATATACCCCCAACGCAAATTATCGTCAGAAAAATATATGGGGAGAGCAGAGAAGGGAGAGAAAGAAGCAGGCTGAACAGACCAGGAAAAAAAAGAAGAGTCAACATTTTGTACATCTCTACCAACATGGGGAAAAAAAACAAGACCCCCCCTCCCCCCCAATCCATGTCTCCTCTCTCCGTCTGTTCTCTATCTTTCGTCCTCTCTTCTCAACCCCCGTTACGAGCAATAATATACTCTAATCGTCTCTCCGTTCCCCCTTGCTCGTCGGACTTCCATCACGAAATCACCTATAACCGGTCGCCCTGTCTTTGCCGACGATATCTCCTGGTAATGGAAATACACCGATGGAGATACAACATCATGTCCTGGCAGGAACTCTCACACCGGTAAAAGAGCATGATAGCCTACTTTGTTCTACTTCTTCTCTTCTACAACCTCGGATTCCCCTGCTTTTGGAGGTGCACTCTAGAGTGTAGAGCTAAAGACAAAAGTGCTCCCCTTGATTGGATAGCTCCACTCTGGCTTCGGCAGTAGTGATGAAGAACTGAGACGGACGATAGAACGGATACACGATGGGGGGAGGGTAGCCGTGTGATTAAATTAGCCGTCAGGCAGAGATGGAGAAAATCTGTTTAACCACCGCGACAAAGCATAAGACCAAAGACGTTCCAACGCTATATAAGAATCCCAGGCTCCCTTCAAAAAAAAAAAAAAAGAACCGGATCAGGCCTCCTTCCCTCCCTTGCTGCGTAAAAATAGAAAAGGCAGCCCGCAAAAGCGCAGACACGACAAGTGATACCACCCAGCAATGTCGGTATTGGACAGCACGCTTCGGGCTCAGCACTATCCAGCCTCTCCCCCTCACCCGACGAGGGGCATTCCCGCGGCGGGCATGAGCGGGACCTCAGACTCCCATGACCACTCTGCGCATGTCCGCCTCCGATCTGCCGAGTCGCCACTGGTATCGAGAATCAGCCGGAGGTTTACGAAGCGGGAGCAGCAGCCTCCTCGGCGGGCTTGGCCTCCTCGGCGGTCTCCTCCTTCTTAGCCTCCTCACCCTCCTCTTTCTTGGCCTCGCCCTGCTCAGCCTCGGCGCTGTCGGACGAGGTCCAGAGGGTCAGGTTGTCACGGAGGAGCTGCATGATCAGGGTGCTATCGCGGTAGGACTCCTCGGAAAGAGAGTCAAGCTCGGCAATGGCATCGTCAAAGGCCTGCTTAGCGAGGTGGCATGCACGGTCGGGCGAGTTCAAGATCTCGTAGTAGAAGACGGAGAAGTTGAGGGCAAGACCGAGACGGATGGGGTGGGTAGGAGTGAGCTCGGTCTGGGCAATGTCGGTAGCGCTCTGTAACGAAGGGGAAAAAAAAAACAGGGTCAGTCTTGGATTGTCTGCGTGCAGGTTGTGGGCAACACGGGAGATCCCGAAGCACTTCTTTTTATTTTTCTGTCCATCTTTTCTCTGTCCATCTTCTCTTCGATTGCCCGCGGGAAATGGAGGGGGTTGTTCTCACCTTGTAGGCCTCGTGGGCGGCAGTGGCAGCGCCCTTGCGCTTCTCGCCAGAGGCGAACTCGGCGAGGTAGCGGTGGTAGTCACCCTTCCTATAAAACGGAGGGGGCGGCGGTCAGCGGTGGAGTGGAGTGGCGGGCAAAAAAACAAAAGGCGGGAGATGTGGGGTGGTGGTTTGTTAGGAAGAACAGGCTCCAGGCCCGTTCGCCCCCGGAGGCTGCGGATCAAGGTACGGCCTGAGGATAGAGCAGGGGGGGGGGGGGGGGGGATGCGAATAGGCAGAGTGGGAATACGTACATCTTGTGGTAGAAAACCTTGGACTCGCCGGAGGCGGCGTTGGGGATGAGGGCTTCGTCGAGGACGCTGAGGACATCCTCGCAAACCTTCTCGAGCTCCTCCTCAATCTTGACGCGGTACTCCTTGATGGTGGCGACGTGCTTGTCGGAGCCCTTATTCTCCTCCTTCTGCTCAATCGACGAGATGATGCGCCACGAGGCACGACGGGTACCGACAACATTCTTGTAGGCGACGCTGAGGAGGTTACGCTCATCGACGGTGAGCTCGCCACCGAGCTTGGCCACCTCCTTCATGTACGAGACCATCTCATCGTAGCGCTCGGCCTGCTCGCACAGACGGGCGAGGAAAGTCTTGCTGTTTGTTTGCAAGAAAACGGCGTCAGCTTCAGATCGAGAGGGACGGGAGAAATAGGGATCGGGTGGGGTCAAGCAGAGGCCGTTCGTCTCTCTGAAGGGAGGAGCAAGTTTGGAAAAACCAAGGGAACCAACCTTTCGCGCTGTAGGTTATCATGGTTAGCATCATGAATGGACAGAACAGGTAAGAAAGAAGGGTGAACGGGTGGAGAGAAGAGGTGGCGGTTGACGCTGTGTGATGATGGGCGCGCTGACTGAGGGGAAAGAGAGAAGGGCTGAGATCTAAAAGCCAGAATGGAGGGGAGGGAAACTTACTTCGGAAGTCATGATGAAATAGAGGGGATTTGCGCGTGGGAAAAAAAAAGATGTGTACGAGGGGCCGATTTGAAGTGGCAGGGTGGTGAGAAAAGCAGTTGTTGGAAAGCGGGTTGGCGATGGAAGGGTGGTGGGGGGGTAAAAGGGCAGATATGAAAGAGATTGGGGCGGCGGAGGGCGTGGGTGAGGCGTTGAGGATGAGATTGTGTTTATATCTTGGCCCAGGCGTTTGGGTTTCTAGTAGCATAGCAGGCGAGTCCCCTGAAGTGAGAGAGAGGGGGGGGGGAGAGCCTGCTAAACCTCTACTGCTCGGTCACTCACCTCCCATTATCCACAGGACCACAACACTGTACCAGTCGCTGCCAAGTAAATCCGCCCGGTGCTGAAGAAGGAAGAACTCTCCCCCCCCCCCCCCCCCCCCCCCCCCCCCCCCCAGACGTCCACATCTGGCACGGCTGGGAGCTTCACGAACTCTCTGTGTCACCCATCGTAGTCCTGGGCAGGAAAGGCACAGGTGAACGGTCGGGAGGGATCTGGAGGGATCTGGACGCTGGGCAGTAGAGGGGAGAGAAGAGTGCCGCAGCCGGGTCAGTCAGCCTTGACCGTTGTTTGCGAGCGGGGTACGTATTCTGGTCTACTTGTACGGAGCACTCGTACCACCGGTGCACTGCTCATATTTATTTACCGGCCACTGCAGCAGGTTACTAATATTACAGCGGCATTACTTACTACTGCTTAGCATTGGCGCGCTCCGCCCACCGCCTTTGGAGATTGTCAGATCTGATGTTTTGGAACTCAGCCCTCTCGCCACAATTGAAATCAGCAGGCAGCATTCATACATGCATGCACCGCGTCTCGATCCCATCACTATTAATTCCGTTAGCAGTATTACTCGTATATGATGACAGTGCCGAGTATTACCGCACATCTCTTTTTTATAAGTCGTACATATCCTACCAGGTCGTACGGGCACGGCTGTGCAAAAGTACAGGACAGGTTTCTACCATTACCTCTTCCCCGGTACTTCATAGATGTGCTCCTCCAGGTGTCATCACGGGATCTCCGTCTGTGGCGGCGGCAGAGGCCCGCATCATGAGACAAGAGACGGCTTAGGGGCCCAGACTGACGGATAGGAGGCCAACAACGCGCAGCCTGCCTGGTCCTGCCGCGGCGGTAATGATGTACTGACGCTGGCTGCCAGCGTTACCAGCCCCTCGTCAGTCTGCTGTGTGCTTCTTCCTTCTTCTTTTTATTAGCACCGTCTCGGGGAGGCCACTGCGGTGTCCCGAGACGAGTGTCCCACAATTAAGAAGAAGAGAAGAATCGAGGCTCTCTCTGATAATTTTCCTACCTCTTCCCTCCTCTGAGCAGAGTG